ACTCCTGGGTTCAAGTGATCTTCCCACCTCAGCCTCCCAAGTATTCAGGACTGTAGGTACACACCACCTGGGCTGGATATTTAATTTTTGTTAGAGTCAAGGTCTCACTATCTTGCCCAGAGTGGTCTCAAACTAGAAGGAAGATAAGGTGGACACGATGCTACATATGCATTTATACACTAAATACATTTTACTCTTGGGGTCACCTGCCAGATACTTTCAAAGGCTGCCTGGGGTATAGTTGATAGAACAGACTTTAGCACTGTCAGACTCAGGTTCAAGTTCAACCTTGCTCTCCCATATTATCTTGTGTAATTTATTTAATCTCTCTGAGCTTCCATCTTTTGACCCATAAAGTACAGGTAGTAATAGTATTGAGATAAATTGATTATAAAGATAAAAGGAGATTGTATATGTGAAACACTGACACACAGTAGGTATTCAATAAATTGTAGGTATTTTTATATTTATCATCATTGTCGTCATCATTGTTCCTTCTTAGACCCAAAGCCTACCAGAGTAAACGTGTGGCTTTAGCTGGGCACAGTGGCTCATACCTGTAATCCCAACTAATTGAGAGACTGAGGTAGGAGGATTTCTTCAGGCCAAGAGTTTGAGACCAGGGTAGGGGTCCTATCTCAAAGCTGTTTGTACCCTCACAGTGATGCATAGTATATGGCTTTGCACATAATCAGCACTCATTAACAGTTATTAATTGACTACCAAATCTGACCCACTTTATGCCGAAAGTGTTTTTTTTGTTTTTGTTTTTTGTTTTTTTTGTAGAAGGGCAGGGATGGGGTTGTAATATAGGTTTGAACAGGAATTCTCTTTCCATCCCACCAATAACATAAAACCTTTAAGGTATGTAATTACTTGTCCCCAGAGGTCTCCCCTTGAAGTGGCTTTGTACTGTGTCAACCTAGCTAAACCAGAAATATTTCCCAGAACTCTCTTCTGTGTTTGGTTTCAGATTAGGACTGGCCACAAGAGAAATTTACCTGAGACTGGAAAGTCAGAGGGGAAGCATTCGCAACCCTTTGAGGATTGGTAGAGGGGCCAGGCAGGCCCTCTTAGCTCATGCTGACCTAAATGCTCATCCTATTGTCACAGGACCAACCCAGGCCTGCAGCTTCTGCAGCTCCCAACCAACCTCCTTTGGATTCTCTGAGTCACAAACCTGCTGTGTGTGCAGTTTCAGGGAGGTGCTAACTTCTGCAGTCCCCCACCTTGTCAGAATTGGAGGCAATGAGAGGCAGATGTGAGCTCCACTCTGTCCTCTAGTTGACTTCCCCACCTTGGATCCCGTGTTCCTTCCTGATTCCCAGAGTTGTGGACCAACAGCTGTTTTAGGCCCCCACCAGGGACAGAGGCAACAGCTTACTGGACTCTTCCACCCACTCCCACAATCGTGCTAATCTTTATAACAAATCCCTTGTTCTATATCATTTAGAGTGGCTCTGCTTTTCTGACTGAAACTTAACTGATACACCTCTCTTCTCTGGGTCTCCGGGATATGGTATCCTTGGTCACATGGCCAACCCAAAGGAATTTGTTCATGGTAATTGGGCAAAGTCATTCTCAAAGCAGGAAGAAGACCTAGGATTAGTAAGCTTCTTATACCCTCTCCCTTCTTCTCCTACAAGACTGTTCCATTTTCAGAGTCAGGAGTTAAAACCATCTGGCTCGTAATGAAACCCAACTTAAGATACCTGAGTTATTCAAGCCTCTACCAGCTCAGGCAAATCTGAGCCAAACTCAGTTCTGATGTCACTGCTTTTGGCAATTGTGTGGGCACTCCCACTCTTTTGTGGTTGCTCTCAGACTTCACTGGCCTCTAGGGCACCTGTGCACAATGCTGGGCTTGGAGTTAACCGCAGGTGAATTAGAGTACAGGGTTGCCTAAGTGTTGTGATCCCAGAAACTCTGAAGACCGATGTTTAGTGGTATCTGTCATTGACCAGACGTTTGAAAGTCCGAAATGTCATCATTATGTCATTCTTTTGGATCACTCTTCCTGATGTTTGTCATTAAAAGACATACACCTTTGATAAAAGAATCATTTTCAGAGTGTAGTGGAAAGAATGTGTTTTCCAAAATCAGATAGTTCTGAACTCAGTCCTATTCCTGCCATTTAAAATAACTGTGATACTGCAACAAAGTAATTATATAGCCTCTTCAAGCTGCAGTTTCCTCACCTATTAAAATAGAGATAATATCTAATTTTGTATCCAAGGCAACAGATGTGAAAGTATCTAGTCCAATGCCTGGCACATAGGTGACCCTAAGTAAATGTCAACATTTACATCTGATTTCCTTTTCTTGAACTGAGTGGTGCATCTGAATTCCTAGTAAGGCCCTGGGTGGGCATCATTGCTGTTGTCTTCTTATCACCATTGGGATCTTGTGGGTGAGTGGGTGAGGGTCTGCTATGAATGTGTGTGTGTTTTAATAGGGTGGGGGTGGAGAGAGAGAGAGAGAGAGAGAGAGATTGAATTAGAATCAACAACAAATTTTAGGAGAGAGCAAGGTCATCGGAAGAAGAAATAAGAAAGTTTGGAAAACTAGTTTATTTCCATCTACTTTTCTCCGTTTCCATTGACACCATCCTAATTCAAGTTGTCTTCTTTCTGAATTACTTCCATAGTCATACTTGGTTCTTTTAACTGTTCTTATCTCTTTTTAGTTTATTCACTTCTTGGAATCCAGTGATATTTTAAAAATGTAAACCAGATCTTAACCCTTCGACACTTTCCATTATACTTGGCATTTGATCTCAACCCTAATCACGGCTTTGTAACTGCTCCTTATTCTGGCCCCTGTCTACTGTCCTTCCTCAGCCTCATTTCTCCCTTCTCCCCTCCCACTCACTACATTTTAGTCACACTAGAATTATCACGGCTCCTTGGACCAGTGAGCTCAAGGCCTTTGTTCATACTTCTGTTTCTCACTTGCTTCTCTCTCTGTCACACACACACACACACACACACACACACACACACACACACACACACTTACTTCTACTTTTAACGGTTTTCATTACACTGCATTCTGCTGGCTGACTCCTACCTAATCTACACATCTTCATTCAAATGTGATCTCTCAGAGACTTTCCTGATTTCCCAAACAAAACCAGGCTTCCTTTTTGCTCTTCCTCAGGGAAGCTCTCTTGTATGTTTTTCTTCTTGTAACCTATGTCCCACTTCAAAATTATAGGATTATGTGTGTAGTTTCTTTCTGAAGTGTTGCCTCCTTTTATAAAGTGAGTCCTCTTCCCCATAGTGTCACCACCAGCTAACCCACAGCATTAATCTCAATAGCACTGGTTCATCATGAAGGACTACTCTCCAGTATAACCCTGGGACAAGTCTATCTGTATGAGATTCACATTTTCTCTCCTCACAGAAGTGCCATAATTCTTGAGTTTGTGTCTTCTCAAAGCCATACAGAAAACAAGATTCGGTTCACCTTTATACTTAGTTTTTAAATTTGGTTTCTACTTTTTCTTTTTTAACTTGAGGTATAACTTATACGTAGTAAATGACACAAATATTAAGTGTGCAGATGGTGAATTTTTCATATGTGCACACCTCTGGAATCATTACTCCAGTCAAGATCTAGAATAGTCCAGCATCCATCAGGCTCCTTTGTGCCTCTATACCCCTTCCAGACAAGGTAACCACTATCCTCATCTCCTTCTCTAGAGATTAGTTTTTTCTGCTTCAAAACCTTATCTAAATGGATTTATATAGTACGTATGTTTTTTGTGTCTGGCTTCTTTTGCTCAACATGTTTTGAGATTTATTCAAGTTGCTTTGTGCAGCAATATATATATATAATTTGTTTAATAGCTGTGTATTATTTCATTGAATATATGATTTATCCATTCTACTGTTGTTGGATATTCAGTTGTTTTCAAGTTTGGGCAGTTGTGAATATTCTTGTATACATCTTTTGGTGGACATGTCTTTGAGTATAAAACAGGAATGGATTGGTGGGTTGGTATGTCCTTAAACCAGTCTCTTTTGTCTTATGGTGCATCCTTCATAAAAATCCTGGCACAACTCCATCTGAATTTACAAATGATATAAGTCAGAGGGAGTCACCCATGTTGTAATAGACTTTTTGCTGGCAGGAATCCTTCATGTGGCTTCTCTTTAACTGTATTTCATGAGTTTGTATCAAGATCATTTAATTATTTGATACTGAGCCTGTAGTGATGATAGACCAGAGCAATTTAAAATCATAATCAGAAGAGTTTCTACTAGTGAAGCTTCATCATGAACCATGATAAATTAGCTCTAAAGTGTTCATCTGAGCCAATAAGAAAACATTATTCTCTCTGTTTAAGTCACATTTCAAGGGCACATTTTTACAATCAGGGCAATCCTAAGGCAATTGCTTTGGCCATTCTTAAGAAATATTGTAGCTATTTATGATGTGTCATTTAATCACTGATTTATACTAGTGCCAGAAGTAATGTTGACTGCTTGCTATATCACAATCACAAGAGACTTTCTGACATAACCATGTAGTGATTTTTCTCTTTCTACAGGAACACGTAGGGTTAATAACCTGTGGCCATTAAACAACACTCTCCAAATTCTGTGTTCCCTTTTCCCAAAAGATAAGTTACACTGAAGGAGGAAAAAAACATAATCTCTGTAGATTCTCTTGCTAAAAAAAGATTCTCTTTTGTTTAGAAAGAATGTTTACTTACTGTTTTCAAGTTCCCCCTACCAGAGAATTTACACACATTTCCCTAAGTGCCCTGAATGAGACAAGAAAATCTTAGTTGCTGTCCCACAGAAGGGAAAGATGCAGACAGGGCACCTTCCCCATTTGGAGCGACAGGCCAATTCTCCCCTAGACCACAGAGGGCCTGCCTTTCTGAGTCTGTTCTGAAGAACTCAAGAGGCTTATCAACTTGGCAAGCTGGGACCACCCAGGCATAGATGAAGAGAACTCTCTACAGAGAGATGGAAGTATGTGGGAAATACCTATATTTTGCTTTGAGTGGAAATGTAGATGTCCTGATGTCCTGGAACTCCTTTCTCATTGTGATGAAAAGTACCCTAAGAAAGGAAGGCGCCTCCAGATTTGGCTAAACCCTGAAACAGAATTAAATGACTTCATTGAATTCTCATGATGAGCCTATGAAGGAGATATTATCTTTAACCCCAATGAAAATTTTGGAAACCAAGGATCATAGAGATTGAATATCTTGACTGAGGTCACATACTTCTAAGTGGTGGAATGAGGATGTGAACCCAGGTGGCCAAACTCCAGCACCTGACAAGATCTGAGAAAGAGCAGACTCCAACTCAGAGTGACATCCTTCCATCCTCCATCTCACCTTTCTAAGCTTCATCTGAAAATATCATGCAAGGTCACCTTTACCACACAGAGGAGATGAAACAAATAAATATGGGGGAGGAGGAAATGGAAAATAAAACTCCCACTGGGGTCTGGCTATTAATGTCTGCCTTCTTCCTACACTTGAATAGGTTTGGTTCTAAGTCTTCTACTGAAAGGAACCAAAACTAATCTTGAATTGAAACTCCTGCATGAGAAGGTGCCGTGATGAGCTCAGAGAGACCACAGCACAGCTCTGCAAGGGCGTTCAGCACATCGTCATGGTTGCTTCCAGTTGGCCCAGGGTGTGGGGTAGGGTGATGCTGATGAGGTGGTTTCCGGTCCCCATGAATTACCTGACTGCCAGCTCCAAGCTCAGGTTCTCTCTGCAGGATGGAGAGGCTGGAAGGCGAGATGCCCTTTCCAAGTAGAACCTCTTTCACCAATGGCTTCTTTAGATGTGTTAACTTTGTGGAAGCAGATGCCCGTTTAACAAGAACATGGGGAAGGGTTTTCTTTAGTACATACTGATGTCAGCCAAGTTCCCACCTCTGTGAATTCTTCTTCTATTATGCTCCGTCTTTTCTTTGATTCAGTCACACTGGCCTTTTTGCTATTTCTGGAACATGCCAGATACACTTCTGCCTCATGCTCCTTCCTCTGCCTGGAGCCTTTCCCCCTACATATTTCCATGGCTTGCTTCTTCTCCTTTTTCATACATTTCCTCAGATGTCCTACGCTCAGCGAGACCTTCTCTAGTGACCTGTTCTAGCAACAATTGCATTCTGAACTCCACCCTCCTCAGTACACACACATGCATATTCTCTCTCTGCTTCCCCACTTAGTTTTCTCTTTAGTACACTCTACCTTTTAATCTACTGCACATTTTACAGATTTATCTTGGTTTTTTTTTGTTTTTTTTTTGAGTTGGAGTCTCACTCTGTTGCCCAGACTGGAGTGCAGTGGCTGATTCCGGCCACCACAGCCTCGCCTGCTGGGTTCCGGCGATCCTTCCGCCTCAGCCTTCCAAGTAGCTGGAATTACAGGCATGCGCTACCACGCCCAGCTGATTTTTTGATTTATTGTAGAGATGAGGTCTCGCTGCCCAGGTGGGTCTCGAACCCGCGGGCTCAGGCAATCCACTCACCTCAGCCTCCCAAGGCGCGGGCTTACAGGCTGAGCCACCGAGCCCGGCTAGCAGTAAACATTTGTGGGGTATTTCCTATGGGCCTGGCACTCCTCTAAGCATCTATGTATCTTTTAATCCCTACAATAATCTGAAATTATGTTCTATTACCATCATCATAATCTTTGAAGAATAAAAATAAACTGTAGTGACAACTTGCTTGAGGCCACATAACTGGAAATCATAGAGCCTGGATTTGAACTCAGGTTCATATCTTTTCTGTACTGCTTCCCCATAGCAAGAAGACATAATTTATATAAAAGAAGCATTTAAAAATCCACTTAGGTAATAAAACTTCACATTTACAAATTTTAGTTTTTGAACTTGTGAGATGTCTTCATGGATCAAACATAAACATAACTCAAGTTCAAGATCAATTGGAATAGTTAGATAGAGACCACAATGTATTTAACTCCAAGTCGTGAAATACCTTTGGCCATTAAATGCTACCATTGAAGAGCTATTTGGAAACTGTTTTATTTAGACTCACTGTATATGTACATACATAAGATATTTTTAAATACAGAGCAGTATCATTTCGTTTCCAAAGCTGAGTGGAAACAAAAAACAGGGCCACGTAGACACACCCTAAACCTAGCACCTGCTTCTAAGACTGCTTCAAATATTATTATCCTGTTTTTCTTGTGAATTGGCTTCAATCACTTGTGATTCCTGTGCATCTAGCATGTCTCATAACCGGCAGTCATTCAGAATCTATTTTAAGTTTGGGCGTTAAAATGCTAGATTTCGTTCATGAGTGACGACTCAGTGAGGCCAAGTCTTCTCCGTTCATGGCGCTGGCACCACACGCCACTGCACACCCTACAGGGACACATACACACACACACACACACACACACACACACACACACACACACACAAACTTTCCAAATCATCTTTAAAGGTTTTCAGTTCTCTTTTTTCTTTTTTAAGTTTCTATTGCCTTCCCAGTAATGGCTAAGACATTGCCAGTTTATCTTGCTTCTTGTGATTTTCTCCAGAAGGCCTTACAGCCTAGGAGTTCAGTTGGGGCCAGATTTTAATTTCCCATTGGTTTTAATCTGGCTTTTATATTCTTGCAAAGAAAAGAAAGCTATTCAAGCCAACTCAAGACAAAAGATTTTAGTATATTGTATTATGTTACATTATTCTTAAATGATAAATCCAAGAGCAGGAACTATATTAAATCTTGGCCTCAAGGAGCCCAGAACTCAATGGTGATTTTAGATTCAAGGAGACTCTCAGACCATCAGCAGAAGGAGTTCATGGATCTTTGATTCCTATGATTAAGAAGCAAACTATTTGTCTTCTTCTGATCTGAGTACTAACTGATGGCTGTTTGTCTGCCTCAAGTCCAGGGCCCTAAGAGAGAATCTGATTGGTCCAGTCTATCTTTCAGGGACGATTATAATTTTTTTTTTTTTTTTTTTTT